GGCCTCGGCAACTAGAAATCCACTATCACAATGAAGATTACAGTTTTGGGTTACAAGAAATAATACCTATCTCTAAACATCGGTAAAAGACCATAACCGATCTTCCCTTCTAAACGCGCTCTCAAGACCGAACAACATCATCTTTCCCACCACAATACTGTTACTTAAAAAATAACATTGAGAGCAACCGAGAGACTTTATACTGTTACCTGAAAAATAACATTGAGAGCAACCGAGATACTTTCTCTCTCGAGAAGTGAAAGTTAACTAACTCAAAACTTATGGAAATAACGCATCTCTCTCGGAGGCCATGTTTTTCTCTCTTGGAGACTCATCTTCATATTGGAGATCCATTCCTATAACCCCCAAAGAGGTGACTCTCAAAGGATGAGTATTATGTCATCATTCACTCACTTATAAAAGATATCACTTCTTGCTTCTCAAGTAAATTAATTTTCTATTCCTATAGTACCTTAATCTTTAGAAGAAAATATGGATACGGTGATTCAGATATCATGAAACCCAATACTACTCTCTCATCTTGCGATACGGAAATATCACTTCTTGCTTCTCAAGTAAATTAATTTTCTATTCCCATAGTACCTTAATCTTTAAAAGAAAATATGAATATGGTGATTTAGATATCATGAAACCCAATAGTACTCTCTCATCTTGCGATACGGATTCATGTATGTTCAAAGACCGAAAGATGACTAGAACTAATCTCCTTGGCTCATATCCCATCAGTTTGAGAGGGAGGGGCGATCAAACATGTGGCGTGCATGGAGGAGGTTGTCGCATGTGTGGCCCTTGCGGCGGCGATGGATACAAGCATGGACGCCTGCAGGTTGCTTTAGCAGAAGCTCAAAGAAAGAGCTTTGTCCATAGACACAAGTCTCACGATAATAACAAGGATATGAGAGGAGCTTCCTCTTCTCTCTTTTTTTTCCTTTTGGTTGGTTGTTTGTGGTTTGGATTGGTGTTTTCTCTTCTCTTCCTTTCTTATTTTATTCCTTTTCGTTGGTTGTTTGTGGTTTGGATTGGCGTGTTTATGTATATCCTTTACATCCTCTTAATGCAATAGCATCAAAATTTTAAAAAAATTAAAAATAGAAAAAAAAATAAAAAATAAAAAATTTGGGGGTTGGGGCAAGAAGGAAAAGCGACAAGGTTTTGAAAGAGCCACTAAAAGCTGACTCGTCTGTGCAAAGGAGAGTAGAGCGAAGATTTCGCTTTGGGTCAAAAGGTTTGTATTGTAAAAGCGTCTTATACGTATAGGCTTATTTTTATTTAGCACTTAATATATCATTTTTTACAACATTAGTGAAAGAAAATAAATGATTCGAACTTTGATTTGAGAGAGCGTCCGTAATTTGAAGTTCGGCTTCAAACGAGTTTATTTGAATGTTGAGACTTTAAAGAGAGATGTAGGGAGAAATAGGGGCGGCAACTGGTCGGATACGGGTTGGACCCGGTTGGAACGAGTTTATTTGAATGTTGAGACTTTAAAGAGAGATGTAGGGAGAAATAGGGGCGGCAACCGGTCTGATACGGGTTGGACCCGGTTGGACTCGGATATGGACGCCAATAGTAGTTAGTGTCCAAAATTTGGAACCATACCCGGATTTGTCAAGTCCCGAGTTTAGTCGGATCCATTGCCACCTTATGATTATGAATTTTTTTTTTACCTTTTTATTTACCATTATATACCTATGTCTACGAGCTTTTTTTTTTGGCCAATAGGACTATAAATCTTGTCAATATTTTGATAATATGAACACCTAATGCGGGCCTAAAAATACATGTTTGTCATCATATACCCTATAACTACAGGTACGGGTCGGGTCTAATTGGATCCAGACTCAGATTGGAATAATATTTGGTTCCAAAATTTGGACCCATGCCCAAACTTGAGGTTGGGTCTACCCCTCGGATCCGGTTTGGTCGGATCTAATGCCACCCCTAGAGAGAATAGGAAAGAAAATAAATAAATTAAAACTGATATAGGAAAAATAAAAAGTTTAATTCCTAGAGGGTTAGCAACTGATACTAAGTAGACTTGCATCTCGAGTTCAATTCCTAATACTGAACTACAAAAAAAAACATAAAAATAAAATATGAGCAACTATATCCCCTAGAGAATTCACCAAAAAATGATCTCTTTAAAACACCAAAAAAAAAAAAAAAATCTCCTTAAGAAACCCAAAATAAACTCTTATTATTATTATTGCTAGTTACATATAAAAATATAAGAAAAGAACCTAAAACGTCACTTGTTCACTGACACATCTCTCTCTCTAACCCATGAATCTCTCCAACAAAAAAAAAAGACAAAAAATAAACCTAAAGCAAAATAAAAATCCAAAAGAAATGAAAACCTAAATCTAAAAAATAATAAAATACAAATATCTCATAAGCTTTTACAACAACAAAAAAAAAAGATAAAAAATAATCCTAAAGAAACTAGAAACCCAAATAACCCTAATACCTAAAACTGAAAAATATAAAATAAAAATATTAAAAAAGCCATAAATCATCCTCCTGAAGCTTGGAGAAGCTTGACCTTGAGCTTTTTGAACTTATCATTTCAATAATTGATGTTGTACTCATTTACTCGGGTGCTTTACTTTTTTTATAAAACAATTGATCATACACTTGATATCGAGCTTATAGTGGAACTCTAAAATACTCGACTTAATTTTGATTTCTCCTTTAGTGAGAGAGAGAGAGAGAGTGTGAGTTTTATTAGTTTAGTGCTTGAGACCTTTCAAAGGTGTTGGGTCAAAGCCAGCCAATTCAAATTCATAGCAATGAAAAATTGAAAAATTTGGGATTTTTTTGGAAAAAATATAGTTACAATGGTATTCGAAATTGAAACATGTGCTGAAAAGGACAACGGCTTTCTAATTATGACCAGAGCCAAATCCTAATTTGGGACAAGGATAGCAAGGGCCCTTGCTTTCGAGAAAAGTAGCCAAAAGATTCATTCTCATATTCATTGAGAATGCTGTCATTCTGAAGAAAATAAGGGTCCTAGCCATCTTATATGGAGGGTGGGCCTTCTTATAAATAAGGCCCAATGATACTGGTTGAAGATAGCAAACCCCAAATTCCCCCTCCAAATGGCTCTCAAAAATCCTTTCTTCTTCCTCTTCTCTTTCTTCTTCTTCTTCTTTCAATTCTCAGTGGATGCTATTCGTAGGAGTAGCTTCCCAAAAGACTTCATTTTTGGCACCGCATCAGCTTCCTACCAGGTTGGTATTACTACTTTTTTTTGTGTCAACTTTTAAAAAATTTTTAGTTTCTCAAAATAAAAATAATTTCTGTCGATTTAGTATGAAGGAGGAGCCAATGAAGGTGGAAGAGGACCAAGTATATGGGATGTTTACACCCATGAACACCCAGGTATTATGCATGCAACAACACATACATAAGCACATGCATACAGGCTATATGCTACACATACATACATATATGGATACTTTGGTGCATGTGAATTCAGTTGTTGTGTGCAGAGAGGATCCAAGATCATAGCAATGGAGATGTTGCAGATGATTCGTATCATCGATATAAGGTTCGGTCTCTTTTTTTTTCTTCTTTTCTTTCTCTTTTCGTGGATTTTGAGAGTGCGCTATTATCCATAGGACCACATGTAATGTGTGGCCATGAGGATCCAATCAATGTGTTGGATGGTGATGGAGATGGACTGAGAAGTACAATAGTATCGATGTCGTATGTGGCTGGTTACACACTCTCTCTCTCCATCATCGTTCAAATCAATGACTGGAAGATGATGGGCATGGATCATATGAGTTTTTTTTTTTTAATGGATCGTCGTATAATTTTCCTTTTCCATTTATTCTTGATTGCAGTGATCTTGTAACTAGTCAAAATGAATCATGTAAAGCCTCTTGAATTATGGAAATTATTAATACCCCAAATGAACGGGAGTTTCATTTTGAAGTTTTTCTTTGAGCTCTTCTCAGTTCTGTTATCTATGCTATTTCTTTTGGTTACTTATGGAAAATTGTTTCAGACGGCGGGGACTGCATTTCTACATTTGTAGTCCCCGAGGTATAAAGCATCCATTTTAAAGATAGATGCAAATAGGCCGTCCTTCTAAAAACATTTGGACTGTTAAAAACAATTGAAACTAATGGTCCAAATGTTTTCTTTAAAGAATATTATTTTTAGTTTTTACTTTTTCATATTCATGATCTCCATGTAAAGGATTACATGTCCTTAAAATTAAGTCTAAAAATCCATTTCAAAAATAGATTTTAAGAGGTGACTCATTTCTACATGGACTCATAGAAGCCTGTCCTACTTTTATGCAAGAACCTTAATAATTTATTTTTTATAGTAGATTTGATCCGAATTTTTATGAAATAAATAATTTTTAACATTGAGATTATTAATCTGTCAAAATAAATAAATTTTATAAACTAGAAATGATATTTTCTTGAAGAAAATATTTGACGCATTGATTTTATTTTTTCTTTGGAGGACAATTACTTAAGGGACCCGGCTTTGGTGGATGGTGTAGATCTCCGGCCCGCATCATAATAGGTGTGGGCTTGACCGTACCAAACAATTTTCCTACTTATATTGATACTTTATTTTTGTTTTTTTGTTGCCTGGTCAACTAAATATTTTCATATTAATTTGGATTGTAGCAGTCCGTCATTTCCGGTAAAGACGAGATGGGGAGCTTGGATTTTTTTGCGAAATATCTTTCATAGAAAAGAACCTCGGCTCACTGTTACTTGGAGACGGCATGTGCTTTACAAAAGGACACGGTTCTTATGAGTCATGGGAGTTTTATATAATTTGCGTCCCTCTTGATATATTTTTTAGGTGGATTTTGAACTCAAGTTGTTTAGCATGTAGAATATCTAACATGGAGATTATCAATATACTAAAAAAATTACAAACTAAAAATAAATTTTTTATTTTTTATTTTGAAGATAAAAGGACTTTTCCTTTGTAAAGAATAGGGTACTTTGGTAATCATGGAGAACTTTCTACGCCATGACTTTTGGAAATAGGACAAGACAAGGAACCAATCAACAATCATGACGAGTGGTCGGAGAGAGTGGTTCGATTCGATCTTAATAACTGTAGCATACCCTATATTTCTAGGAGTTTTTACTACTGAAAATTATCAAATCAAGTTTATTATCTCAAAATTATTCTTAAAAAGAAAAAGAAATTGATTTGGCGTTAAAAAAAGGGAAAATTATAAATACCTCTAAATTGTATAATCTAGGCATATGCCCATTTAGTTTTTTTTTTGTACTATACTATTAACCCCACACTGTTTATTCTTGTATCCACCCCCACAAGTGAAAAATAGGGGTGGCAATGAGTAGGGTCATGTCCGGGTTTGATCGAAAAATATTATGAGACCCGGACCCGGACTCAAACCCAAAACATATTGTGGGACCAGTACCTGGACCCGGACTCAAACCCAAAACATATTGTGGGACCAGTACCTGGACCCGGACCTAAATAGTATTCGGGTCCAAGATTTGGACCCAGACCCCACCCAGTCAGGACTAAATTTTTGACCCATACCCAGACCAGGTCCAGTCTCAAGTCAAGTCCGGGTCCATTGCCGCCCATATAAAAAAAGTTATTTTTTGGATACTTAATATCTCTCGCTCAAAATGTGGTTCAATTGTGCTGGTTCAACACAATCTTTTGGCTTTTGATCATCAAAATGTGTTGTCCAAACCGGTTTCTAACAAAAAGGTGCCGAACCAACTTTTGATATTAAAGTTGTGTCGCTCTGACAAAAAAATGTGTAAAAAAGGTTCATATTGAAATTGTGCCGGTCTAGGAGAAAATGTGCTAGACCAACTTCTATATTTAAGTCGGGCCAGTTTGGCATATTTCATGCTAGACCAGCTTAGAGTGAGAAGTGGGAGCATGATAAAAAAAAGAGAAGCATCGGTTAAAATGGAGGTATTTTAATAAAAAAATCGACTTTTTACTTAAACAATGTTTGGAGTTAATAGCATTTTATTTGAACTGTAAAAGCCTATACACAACCTTCCACATGGTAAATGCATAGAATCACTTTTAACCATTAGATTTTAAATTGGATGGTTGGAATGTGCTCTTCAACTAGTAAAAACAATTCTTACCGAATTGAATGACACATCCTTGGCCCCGAAATTTCTCAATTGACAGCCACCGGTGATTGTAGTACTCTTGTGTCAATAGTAAATAGTCTTGTAATATACATTATCTATAATTATATTATGGAAAAATTTTATATAAAGTTGCAACCTTAAAATGTAGAATTATAGTTGCACCACAAAAATCCACCAGGCAAGGTTGTTTTAATGTTGAAAAACCTCTAATTGATAATGTGGACATTGAGATGTATGAATATGAATAAAAATCAATTTTGAGTTTCAAAAATAGTGCACCTTACAATATATTATCTTGACCATCCATTTTTAAAATTTTCATATGCGTATAGATCTACTTGATTTTAATCATTTTTAAAATTTAAAATTTTATATTTAAATATGAAAATAGATTTTGGGATATTCCTAAGAATTATTTTATCAAAATTAATGTTATGATAAAATTTAAAAGTGCGTTTTAATTGGATTGTTTAAAATTGCAACCTCATAAAAACTAGACCCTTATATTATATAATCATTTCTATGTTTCAATTTTTTTAATATGCATCAACGGGTAAGCATTAGCCACGCACCAGTTGTTGAGCTATGCTAACGCAACTACATCCATTCGTGTAGTCATTGCACAAAATTTGAAAAAACTAGGGTGGGCTGCCGTCATTTTTATTAAAATAATTTAAAAATTACATAACTTCTTAAAAAAAAAAGTTAAAAAACCCCATACAACATGGGGTGGCTATCTGAGGCTGATTATGGTACGACAGAAACGGTCATTTACTGGCAGGACCAGCTGGTGGCATCATAGAGCTAGCCGGTTCAATATACGATGGCATCCGATCGGCTGTAATAATTTTTAATTTAGATTGGACGATTTCAATCCAGATCGGTGATTTTTAAAATTTTAATAATGATTATTGAGTCTTTCACAAATAAATATTAAGAATTATTTGTTTATTTATTTTACTTATCTATTTTTTGAAAGTAATATTTATATGTTTATTCATCTATTTCTTTTAAAGTAATATTTATGTAATATTTATTTATTTATTGGAAAATGTTTTTATTTGTAGGAGGACATAAAGCTGATGAAAGACATGGGGATGGACGCGTATAGATTTTCCATTTCCTGGTCAAGAATATTGCCGAGTAAGGAAACCAAGTACTTTGGGTTAGGTGGTCTTGTAGGAACATTGCTTCTATGGATTAGCATCAAAGCAGCAGTTTCCAAAAACAAAAACACAAACGCGTCAAAATTCACATTGTTTTGGAAATCGCTGGAAGAGCAGCTTTCAAAACACATCGCACTTCCTGTAAAAAAAAAAAAAAATGTGGGAAATGCTACGGTTGTGGAAGTCACAACTTTTGGCTGCTACACTTCCACGAAACAAACACACCCTAAGATTACCATGAATAAAAATAGATGGAACTAAAAAATTTCAACCAAATCAAAGTAGACCCAAGCCTTATCATCTGAGGGTCCATCTTATTAGACCTCAAGTCCTCGAAATTTCAAACTCAAATTCATTTAATTTATTTAGTTGACAACTAAGATGTTACTGCTGATGTTTAGTGAAGGTTTCAGGCCACAAAGATACCGTATCTAGGTGTTCCTGTGGCCGGACCCAAAAAAATAATAATACCACTTGGTCCCACCAGACCAGACCACCGTATACATTCTATTTTTTACAGAGAATTATAATTAGTTGAGTTACACTTATACGGTGAAGTACGAGAAAGTAAGACGGATTGGAAGTAGTTGCAGTTAATGATTTTCTCTTAGTAACTGTATTTCATTTTAGATAGAGGATTATTTTTTCTTAGAAAGTGCTAAAATAATAAACTATATGTACCAATCGCACTACCAAATGTTATGCATTTCTTTCTTTTCCCTAATGTCCCACATAATTGCTAGCTCTACGTACGCAAATAACAATTCAACCCAATTTCAAAATCAGGGGAAAGCTCCAATGAAGAACAAGATGCCTCGGTGATTGCGGCCACACCCATTGGAAATAAAAAAACAATGGGAATCCAATTTCCAGAACTTCTGATAGCGGGGTTAATAGAGAAAGATGTTGGGGTGTCCCACATCTGAGGGGGGATACCAGTAGTATTTTCAATTTGTTGGGAGCTTTTCATGTAAAGTTAGGAGGAGGAGTTGATGAAAGTCATCATCCAATGTAAATAGGATATGACGTGACGGTTTTGGATGGAGATATCATCTTTTACTCTTAGTGAAAAAAGAACCCACTTTTTTTTGGAGGTTATGAGGTACTTGACCCACAAAGCCAATCGCGATGGTCTTGTATGCTCTTTAGTTGGTTGTCTTCCCCTTGGGCTATTTTTTTGGGCGTACTTCTCTTGGATTATCAGAGAAATTTCTTTGGGCTTATCTCTATTGGATTATCAGAGAAACAGAAAACTATCGTTTAGAGAGAAAAAGAATGAGATTTTTTTAAAGAGAAAAATAGGGATAAAGTTATCATTTTTTGAGAGAGAAGAGAAAGAGAGAGAGTTACTATCTCTTTTTTGAGAGAGAAGAAAAAGAAAGAAAAGAGAGAGAAGCTGTTATAGAAAAAGAAAGAGTATTTATGTGGGTTTATCATAGTGCCTCCTAAAGAGAAAAACCTTAGAAGAGAGATAAATCCAGATAGAAAAAAAGCTTTTAAGAGAGAAAAGAACCTTAGTGAGGAAAAACCTAGAAAGAGAAAAGCCTTTACATGAAATCAGATAGCTCAAGAAAGCTTGTTTCTTGGAAGAATATTGTAATAATTATTTTAATAGTGGATCTGTCTCTTTCTCTGGTAGACATATACCTCAAAAGATAAACCACGTAAATCTTGATGCCAATAAGTTATTTGTTTATAGCATGTTTTCCCACTCGTACACACATCGGTTTTGGCATGATTTTTATGTTCCATAAAGTTGGGTTTCATTGTGCGCATCTACATTTGTGAGAGAGGGTTTGACTGGGTGACCCCAACATGTGGTATAAGAGCGTGTTTCTCTTGACTCTGAGACACCGCTCAGTCCTCCTTATCACTGCTCTTAGGTGTAGCAAACCTAACAGTAATAGGACGAGCAAGGAAGAAAAAAACATTGTATACTGACTTATATTTGATCGTCGAACAAGATATTTTGGCATATGTCATTAGTCAGAGACTATCGGTGAGTGGCTACTATGCAAAGAAAGTCTTGACCGACGGATCGTCGGTCACCACCTTGACCAATATTGAATAATTTTAACTACTGTAAACTCACATCGACTGACGATCACACCTTGATAGCCGGTGAGTGTTTGACTGTCGATGGATACTTGACCGCGAATTGACAGCCGATGAGTGCTTGACCGCCGATGAATACTTGACCAACGACATATACTTGACTGGCGACAAATACTTGGCAGACGACGGATCCTTGACTACTGAGGAATCCTAGACCAACAATGGGAGCTTGACAGACATTAAATCTCATTGACCGTTGATGAATAGAAGAGAGGGGAGTGAAAGACATGTAGATTAAAGATGGATTTCAGTATTGGGAGTAGGTTGATATTGCTCAACATGAATAACTTGATCATCTGGAAGCCAAAGATTGAAGATCTACTATAATCTAGGGACTTGAGTAGAAGAGACTTGACCGAAATGCTCTCAGAACTATCCCACAATGATTGGAAAAAATATGTTCCACCATGTGAGAAATCCTTTAAGTCATTATAGGATAAGCTACATGACTTGTACGAGAGGAAGGCGGTTAGAAATAACTCGTTCTTAATCAAAAAATTGGTAAACATGAATTTTAGGGATGAAGGATCCATTGTAGAGTACCTGAATGAGGTGTAAAACATTGTTAACCAACTCGCAACAATGAAGTTGTTCCTAGAAGATGAAGTATAAGCTCTATTTTTGCTCAATTCACTACCAGAGAGTTAGGAGACCCTGATAGTCTTTGTGAGTAACTTAGCCCTGATGGAATAGTGGTCACGAGTCAGGTCACTAGCAGCATGTTGAATAAGGTGATGAGAAGAAGATCCTCTGACACATCCAACTCGTAAGCCCCTGTCACAAGTCGAGGAAGGTTTGGGAATGGGGTGCAAAATTGATTAAACCAATTAATGATAAAGTTAGCTTGAAGATGAGAAAGGGGATTGCGTGTTTTCATTGTGGCAGAGAAGGGCAATCAAGAAAGGTTGTCGGAAGCTCACGAAAAAGCTAAATGAGGACAATGTCAAAAATAGTGGCAGGGAAACTATTGCAGTGGCTATAGATATTGGTGTGGTCGGAAACTATAGTGATGGGTGCATCAATATTGCATCATGTTCATGCAACTCAAATTGGGTTGTAGAAGTTGGGAGCATGCTATCCACCGTTAAGTTACCAAAGTCATATTGGGGTGAAGCAGTCCTCACAACATGTTACGTAATAAATCGATACCCATCATTTCCTTTGGTTGGTCAGAGCCAAGAGATAGTCAGGAACAAAAACAAACAAAAACTATCTCTTATTCACATTTGAGGGTGTTCGGGTGCCAGGCATTGATGCATGAACCTGAGGAACAAGATCCAAGTTGGATGAGAAAGTACTCCAATGCATCTTTCTAAGGTACTCAGATGAAGAGTTCGACTATAGGCTCTGGGATCCTGAGAATAGGAAGGTGATCAGGAGTAGGGATGTGGTCTTTCAAGAAGACATTACCGTTGGAGAAGTGAAGAAGTAAGAAAAGCCATGAATCTTCAATGGTTCTGAACCGGTCATCATTCCTCCTATTGTGGTAAATGAAGATCGGGGAGAAGTGAAACAAGAGGATGGGTTCCAAGAGTTTGACATGCCAGTTCCAGGTGATGTGGAACAGGGGGAGCAGCCTCTTTAAGTAGTGCCACATACAACTGAACAGAGAAGATCCTCTAGGGGATATAAACCCTCTACCAAATAGCGTTAATTGGAGTATGCCATATACACTGAAAGGGGCTAATAAACACAAATGGTTGTGGGTTAAAGCTCAAGAAGAGAAAGAATCCTTACATACGAATCACACCTATGACCTGGTAAAGTTGCCTAAAGGCAAGAAAGCATGAAACTTAAGTGTAGGACAGATCCCTTCAACCAAGAGGGAGAAGGAAGACATACAAAAAGGTACCCTATGGGTCGGTCCTAGGAAGTTTGTTTTACTCCATATTGTGCATGGTGTCATATGTCACACATACAGTTGGTGTAGTGAGCAGATTCATTGCCAATCTTGACAAGGTATACTGAGTAATAGTCCATTAGATATTCAGATATCTCAGAGAAATAACCAAAGTGTGGTTGTGTTTTGGGGGAGGTAAACCTGTGTTATATATATATACATATGAAGATATAGAAGTCAATCTTGAGATACATGCTTACTTTTGCAGGGAGAGCTGTTTCATGGCAGTCCAAGCTGTAGAAGGGTGAGAAACTATTGCAACTAGAGAAAATCCAAACTGACAGTAGGATATGATGTTGAAGACCTTAGTCAGAGACAAACAAGAGCGGTGCAAAAGCATGATTGGAATGTGTGCCATTTGAGCACTTGGTTGATCTGCGAAGATAAATCTGCCTCTTAAGACTGAAGGGAAAGATTGTTGGGTGTCCCGTCCCATGAGGGAGGGGCACCGATGGAATTCTCCATTTGTAGGGGCTTCTCATTGAAAGTCAGAATGATGATTTGTTGACCAAGTTACCATCCCATGGAAATAGGATGTCACATGATGGTTTTGGGTAGAGATATCATCTTATCTTTTAATTGAAAATAGATAGAGATGAGCCACTTTTTAAGAGGTTATCAAGTGCTCTCTTGATTGTCTTTCCCCACTTTGTGCTATTTCTTTAGGTGTACCTCTCTTGGTGTATCGGAAATACTGACAACCTTCTCTTAGAGAGAAAAAGAAGATATGACTTCTATTAAGAAGAGAGAGAAAATTATCTTTCTCTGAGCAAGAAGTAAAAAGAGGAAGTTACACTTTCTTCTTTGAGAGAGAAGAAGAAGAAAGAAGAGAGAGCGAGAAGCACGTTAGAGAAAGAGTGTTTATGTGGGTTTATCATAGTGCCTCATAGAAAGAAAAGCCTAGGAGAGAAATCTACCGAGAGAAAGAGTTTGAGAGAGAAGAACTTTAGAGAGGGAAAACTTAGAAAGAGGAAAGCCTCTAGAAGAAATTTGATAGCCTAAAAAAGCTTGTTTATTAGAACATTGTAACCATTATTTTAATAGTGCATTTGTCTTTTTTTTCTATGGACGTAACCTAAAAAGGCAAACCACTTTAATCTCGGTGCCAGTAAGTTCTTCACCTTATTGCATGTTTTCATACTCATACACACATGTTGGTTTTAACATATTTTTTTGTTCCATAAATTTGGTTTCCACTGCTCACATCTGCATTGGTGCGATAGGGCTTGACTGGATGAGCGCAACAAAAGAGATGGTCATTGACAAATTGATCGAATCTTGTTCTGATTTTGCTAAATCAAACTGCGTGAATCGAGCCTAAGGTGTCCCAACCCAAGTCCTAGTTCTTGAATATTGGTACAAATCCACGGTAGAATTGCGAATCTAACGTAGTAAGTGTTCTTATAGCCGTTAGTATCATCTGCTGATCACTTCACAATTATCCGTGCGGGAGGGTTTCTTGTTAAGATGAAGGACGTTTTGTACTCGATGTCCTATATTTGTTATCTTCATAGAATTTTGGCATTACTCATTAACATAAATTAACCAATATATGAATCTTTAAGGTCCTTATTAACGTAAAAATTGCAGAGGGAAGTTTGAAAGGTGGGGTAAACAAGGAAGGGATTGCATATTACAACAACCTAATCAACGGCCTCATTTCCGAAGGTCTCTCTCTATATATACTATTTTATTTATGCTCTTTCTTTCTTATAAATAAGTTACATCTCACCTTTATTTGCACATTAACTCATTTCATACCTCTCTCTCTCTCTCTCTTTCTCTTTCTCTTTCTCTGTGTCTCTCTCAGGCTTGAAACCTTTTGTCACGTTGTTTCATTGGGACCTCCCACAAGCACTCGAAGATGAGTATGAAGGGTTCTTGAGTCCAAAGATTGTGTAATTATTGCTCCTTCCCCTCTTTAAGACTAGATATCCTATATTCTCGAAAAAGTTTATTTATTTATTTATTTTGTCTTTCTCCCTCAAAATACTTGTGCCTGAAATGAATAACATTCTAGGATTGAATAAAGGTTCTACTTTTTAACAGTCAGTTTAAAGTGTTTAAGAACTTAAAATCTTTCTTTTAAAAGGAAATGAACATTTGGTGGTGATTTTTAGGTAGATTTCAGAATTTCAAATCCAGGCCCTCATAGGTAGCAATATTGCCCAAGGGAGTATGTATATTGTATGCTCTTGGAGTATGCTATACAAGTTCAATAAGGGAGAAAAAGAAGAAGAACGAAACCAACATTTTTAATGGAACACGCTACTACTTCTCCACAATAGGGCTGGAAATGGGCTGGGCTTGGGACATGACCACCGTGGTCATAGCACGGCCCTGCCTTGACTTGGCTGAGGAGGCCCAAGCTCGGTTCCCGCCCTATTAGGGCTGGGGTAGGCTAGGCCAAATATGATCCAACAAAAATAAAGAGAAAAATAACAAGGAAAAAAAGGATGGGATGGGCTTAACCAGCCATTGTGGTGGTCCTATCCTTGGCCTGAGCCGTGGCTGAACCTGCCCTCAGGCCATACTGGCCCGGTTCTAGCTCAGCCCTTCCCTCAAGCCATGGTGACCGGCCCTAGCCCCGAACTCTTGCCACATCTTGTTGCCAAGGCCCTCTTTTTTTAGGGCAGGGCCAGTCAATTTTGTCACTGATTGGCCTATTGCTCGATAATAACAAGGGACGCTTGTATTGTAGTGTAGTAGTAATAGTAAAGTTCATGTAGGCATGCAACCTTGTAGAAGTAAGGTTAGACTACACCATTCATTTTGTTTAGATGGTGTAGATTTTCACAATGTCTTAAAATGCATGCTACTTTTCAATATTGCGTGAAAAGATATGTCAAATTTACATCATTCAACTAAATTGAATAGTATAGAGCATCACATCCTCGTTTTTATAAGTACAGTTGTTACCTTATAGAAACTGCACCCATACCTAACACATACAACGGTTTTTTAATTTTTTTTCAGGGCAGACTTTGCCGATTACGCAAACCTTTGCTTTAGTGAATTTGGAGATAGGGTCAAGCATTGGATCACAATAAATGAGCCATTGAGCTATAGCGCAGGTGGTTACGCCTTTGGAATATCTGCTCCTGGCCGTTGCTCTTCTTGGGTTGGAAATTGTAGCAAAGGAAACTCAGGAACTGAGCCTTACATCGTGGGCCATAACCTCATTCTCGCTCATGCTACTGCTGTAAAATCGTACAAGGACAAATACCAGGTTTGAGTGCTACAGCATTACTCTTTTTCATTGGAAGAGTTGAGCAAAGTAAACCGACCATGAAGCTGGTTTCAAAGAAAAAAATTATATGTTGTTGGTTTTCTTTCCCAAATGAATTTTATAGTGACAATTTAACTCATACATTGAGTGTTCAAAAAGTCGAGTTGGGCTCAAGCTCAAACTACCTAGAAGGGAGTCCCCCCAGGCCCTACACACGCTGACCAGGAATATTTAGAAAAAAAAATCTAAAATAGGGCTAAGAATGAGTCGGACAGGGTCCGGATCCACTAGGATTTGAATTTGGATCCAAAACATATGCATGGGCGTCGGATACAGATCCTGATGTGGTTCCGGACCCAATCAAATCTAAAAAAAATGTTTTAGATAAAATAACATGTAACAAAAAAATGCTATACAATATATGGGTGTGGTTTCTATAAGGTTGCAACTTTAAACAATCCAATTAAGGTGCACCTCCAAATTTTATATTAACATGTAATTTAGTTGTAAACAATTCTTAGGATTATCTCAAAATATAATTTCATTTCTAATTATAAAATTTTAAACTAAAAAAATTGTTAAAGTCAAGTAGAACTATAAACATATGAAAATCTTGAAAATGGATGATCCAGATAATGTATTTCAAGATGTACTATTTCTACGACTCAAATTTTTTTTTTTTCTTTCATATCATACATCTCGATGTCGAGATGATCAATTGGAGGTTTATCAACATTAAAACAACTTTTTCCGATAGGGTTTTGAGGCGCATATGTAATTCTACATTTTAAGGTTGCAACCTTATATAAACTCTTTTCAAAATATATACATATATATTAAATACTATATAATATAATATAATAATAACTAGGTCGGATTCAGATCAAATCCACCTGTACCCAGATTTGATTGAAATTACTATTTAGATCAAAAATTTGGATCCGAATCCGATCTGTCGGATCTAAAAAATCGGTTTTGGATCCAAACTGGGTAATTCTTAGCCCTATCATAAAATATACTGGAAACGAAGATAAAGGGGCAATTATTGGTTTTCTAGAATAGAAAGGCCAGATTTCTAATCTGATCCGAGTCAGGGAAACCTAAGTGGGGCAGGAAACGGAGCATACATAGGGTGCACTGCACACATTTAGTGCATGTGCACTTACCTATTTCTTGTAAAAAAGTTTAAACCTTTATTCCATTATGTAATTCATCAAGAGCCTTCACCTTAGTCATGTAAATTGGATGTCACAAAATAAGACTATAGGCCACGAAATTGGACTATAATGCATAGGAAAAGGAAACACAGCATTTTGCTCTATAAAATTGAAATGCTACAAGTGCACTAATTATTGTTTATAGTTTCTCTTTAAAATTATTGTAATAAATACCCATCCATTTTGCTGTTTTCTTTTAAATACATATTATTTGATTTGCTCTTTTAAATTTTTGCGAAATAAGAGATGCAAATTGAGCTGTGTAGGCATCTCAAAAGGGAGTGATAGGCATAACCCTGGTGTCTATTTGGATGTTAGCCCATTCACCAACTAAATCCAACAATGCTGCTGCTCAAAGAGCCATAGACTTCTTGTTTGGATGGTATGTAATAAATCTATAAGGCTTCATTTACAGTTGTTTGCACATATTCAATAATTCATAATTTACTCAAAATCAAGAATATAAGCAATTCTACTATGGCAAAGTATTTTGTAGGGCAATCACATCGAACATGCAGTTACTGTGCGAAAAAGTATGCAAAAATTGATTTTCTTGACGTCCGCATACATGGATCTTTAAAGAATCGATTTCAATCCCAATACTTTTTTATATTAGAAAATATTTTCTAGATCATCCGTTTCAAGGGTTCATAGAACTACAAAATCTGCATCAATTTTCCTAGCTTCAAATGCTAGAGTCAAGGGCAGAAATAAATTGCATGCCATCATAAAGAAAAACATTCTCTAGTTGGGCATTACGTTACCAAGTATCATGGAACCGCTGCCCTACAAAAACCTCACCCATTTACCATTTTTGAGTTGAGAGTAAAGTGGTGCAATTCTTTATTTATATATTCAATCATCCAATTACTAAAATAAGTATATATTTATTTATTTTTTATATATTAGGTACATGGATCCATTGACAAGAGGAGATTATCCAATTAGCATGAGGTCCTTGGTGAGGAAAAGGCTGCCCAAATTCACAAAAGAGGAGTCCGAACTGGTGAAAGGGTCATTTGATTTCATTGGATTGAATTATTATACGGCTAGATATGCAGCTAGTGTTGTTCCAAACAATAAGCTTCCTCCCACTTATGCCACTGATTCTCGTGCCAACCTTACAAGTAAGCCTTAGGCCTAATACGTAGGAAGAATGCCTCTCTCTCTCTCTCCTCCCCCTTTCTCTCTCTCTTTATTTTTTTTTTTTTTTGACAAGGTTAAGAAATTTAATTTGATGGATTGCTGAAATAGAATCGTAGTACACATTTGGAATCAAAAACATTAGATACAAACAAAGTGGACAAGGTAACTCCGTATTTAGTTAAGCTATCGGCTGAATTTCAGAGGTAAAACAAATCTCATAGATTTTTATCCAAACGACATGAAGACACCATGAAGTTCCTTGCTCATGCTTACGCCATTTTATAACATTGAAGGACTCACCTTCAATTATTATTATGACTCCCACAATTCTTTTATTAACAATAATTTCGAGTCCTTGAAGCAACGAGCAAATTTCTGCTTGATTTGCTAAGGTGGAGCCACATGGCCAACATAAGAGAAGATAATCGTCCCTTCATGGTCTCTTAACACACCCCAATTTTAGCTGGCCTGGGTTTGCAAAGGAACTTCTATCGAAATTGAGTTTGAGAGAGCCTTCCGGAAGAGGCTTCCAAAGTAGAGTGAGGGTAATATCTGGAGGACAAAAGAGAGCTAGATTCTTCAAATTAACAAACATGTCTACCCTCAAAACTCCTCTGCTTTCAGTAGTGATAGAGAACCAATCCCAAAGAGTTTGTAAAATTTTGTCCTTAATGTGTTCCAAATCTAAAGAAACCCCTTCAAAAATTCTTCTATTACGCTCCAGCCATATCTGCCAAAAAAAGACATTCTATATACCTTCCAAATACAAATTCGTTTAGAAGGTAAACAAACAAATTGAGATGGTTAACAAAACTAACTAAATTTTTAGGAAGCATAAGAGAGAAACCCATGTAACAAAAGGCCCAGTTCCAAATATATCAAGCAAAAGGGCAAGTGTAAGAAAATGTGACAATCAGTCTCTTCCTCTTGTTTACACATAAGGAAGATATTAGGAAGAATTCTACCCCTCTTGAGAAGATTATCAATTGTGAGACATTTATCTTATAGAGCTATCCAAAGGAATGCTTGGACTTTCAACAGAATAGACCATCTCCAAACGACATTAAAGAGACTATTGGACCATCTAACCCGATCAAGGAAGAGTAATAGACTTGACTGAGAAAATATTGTCACCCTCACTTTCCCAAACAACCTCATTTGAACTAGAAGGAGAGATGTAGACGTCTTTAAGTAGCAACAACAGATTTTGAACCAGAAGGGGAGAGAGGTGATAACACTCTCCGGCATTTTGTTATAGGTCTGGAATTTTGTTATAACTACAAGCTATGTCCAAACCATACCCGAGGGAGAAAAGGATACTAAATTTGAAATTTTAGCTACAGGAGAAGACACTCGAGCAAAAATATCCGGAAAGTGGTCTATCTCCTAGCCACTTATTAAACCAAAAGAAGAGATCTTCCCCATTGCCAATTTGATATTTGCTTATAATCACATTTTTGCAGTTGTAAATGCCTTTCTAGATTTGCAAAGAATTCTTACCACCTTTTCCTTTTTTGATCAAATGAGAAATATGATGAAAAACATATTTGGCAGCTAGGACTTCTTTCCACATATGGTTTGGGCGCTGAATAATTCTCCACCACCATTTATAAAAGAGTGTCAAATTCATGAATTTTAACTTTCAAATACCCAGCCCGCCCATTTTGATTGGTGTACAAATCTTATCCCAACACATCAAATAGAATTTCTATAAACTTCATCGAAGGAGTCCCAAATGAAATTGCACATGTACCACTAAATAATCTTAATAACATCACCAAACATTTAAAGAATAGACATTAAGTAAATGGACAAGTTAGCATAGGTGGATTTTACATGGGTGATACGACCTTCCAGAGATAAGGATTTTGTTTTCCAAAGATCGAGGTTTATTTGTATCTTTGAATCTATGGGTTCCAAACAACTCGAGGAATCTTACAGTCAGAAATTGAATCTCCCTAGTACTTCAAAAGGAATTCCTCAACTTTGCATCCAAGGATATTTGTTAAGGGGTCCACAAGATGCAGGCTACAAGAAACCCCGACCATCGAAATGTTATGAAAATTGACATTAAGGCCAAGGGATAGTTGGCAACAATTAAGGAAGACAGTGAGATTCTTAATCTGAATGGAATCTGCACTACTAAAAATTAAAGTATCATCAGCATATTGTAAGTGGAAATAATAGACCCATTTGACGCCACTTAAAATCCTGACAATCTTCCTTTTCTTTCCACATTTTTTAGCATCTACTGAAACCCTCTGCAACCAAAGTAAATAAGGATAGAGAGAGGGCATCCCCCCATCTAATTTCCCTAGGATCCTTCAAAAGCCTGGAGGACATCCATGGATAAGAATAGAGAAGTGAGCCGAAGACAAACAACTCATAATCCATGAAGTCCACTTTGAGCTATACATCTTATAATTTCATGTAAAACTTGCTAATCAACTCTATCAAAGGCTTTTTTCCATGTCTAATTTGATCACTACCCCAGCTCTGCCTTCAAGGGACTTAGAATGAAGATATTCTTGAGCAACGAGAATGCTATCAGAAATTATTCTCTCTTGGATGAAGGCAAATTGTTCATTAGAGATAACAAATGGGAGGACAACCTTGAATCTTTCAGCAAGGACTTCAATAATAATTTTATAAAGGCTTAATAAGAAGCAAATAGGTCTAATATCTCCTATCTCTGCAATGGTATCTTCTTAGGAATAAGAGAGATATAGGTTAAGTTAATGCTCTTAAGCTTCCTTCCAATATATATGAATTCTTTGACAAAGAGTAAAAGATCAAATTTCAACAAATTAAAAAATCTTTTAAAAAAGATAAAGAGGAAAACCATCTGGCCTAAGAGCCTTGTCGCCTGGAAGAGTAAAAACTACATTATTTGAAACTTCCTTTTTAAGCTACTCAACTAGATGTGAAAGTAAGATTTGAAAGGAACCCCATCCATTATAACTCCCAACTGGTGGTAACTAGAGAAAGCATCTAAGAAATATTGGATACTAGTATTCTACTTTCCATGAGTATTTCCCTCTGGCTAGGCATTTTTAGGGCTGTTATATTATTTTACCTTCTACGAGCATTGGCAATGGTATGAAAATCTTATCACCCTCTTTTAGCCATTTTGCTCAAGACATTTGCCTCCAATATATCTCTTCTAGTCTCAAATAGTGATGTAGATCTCAAATAGTGATGTAGATCAAAACATCAGATCAAGATTTGGTTGTTCAAATTTTTAAATTTTATTTTTGTTAATTTTATTTTTAGAGATTGGGTAGAATTTTTATTTTTATTTTTATTAGAGATAGAATTAGTCTAGAATTCTTTGGGTTATTTTGATAAGTTCGTTTTAAAGAGGAGAGTCCGTGATGAGTTATCTTCTATTAGTTTTATCTTTTTTTATAAGTTGGGTTTTTAAAAAGATAAAGTTGACATGCATGTTTATTGGTAGGAGACGTTTAGGCTCTAGTACAAGACAATGCTTTTAGTCCTTAGAGAGATAAGGCTTAACTTTTAGACGTTAGAGAGGTAAGCTTTTAGTCATTAGAGATATAAAGCTTTTAGCTTGAATAGTTTTTGTTTATCCTTTTAGGGATGATATAAAAAGAGTCGTACCATTGTATTCGAGAGATAGAATTTGATGAATGAAAAAAGTTATTTGATATCGTAGAGAGTTGTTTGTGGGTTTTTTTTCTTCTCTTGAATTTGGTCCGTCGGAATACTTCTATCCACACTTTTTGTTATTTTTTCTTGTGATTTACTTCACGATTATTACTTCTCTCTCTAAATGCAGTTAATTTGTTGGGGTGGTATTCGCTCGAAAATTTTATATTGCGTCAGGTGGTATCAGAACTTACTCGATTCCTATGGATCGTGGTGTTTGTCGATTGGCCTCATGACTCGTGGACAAGGTCTATGGCTGAGCATCATGACTCAAGTCATCCAACGAGAACGAAACCTTTGAGTTCTCCATAAGATAAAATTCGAAAATTTAAGAAGTCAAGTAAAAGAACTGACTCAACGCTTGGCTCAAAATCTAACCCCGACACACTATGATGACGGTAGTGAGTCGGAAGTTGTTTTTGAGAACCTGTTCCATGTGCACGATCTGCGTTGGGAGCCCCATATATGGGATAATAGATCTTGGGATCTAGGTAGTAAAGTTGATATTTGGGAGCCCCATATTTGGGATAATAGATCTTGGGATCTAGGTATTAAAGTTGATATTCCAGAGTTTGCAGGAGGATTGCAAGCAAAAGAATTTACTGATTGCATTGATGAACGTATCTTCAAATACACGGATGTGCCCGATGATAGGAAGGTCAAGCTCATGGCTATTAAGCTTATGCCCGATGATAGGAAGGTCAAGCTCATGGCTTTTAAGCTTAAGGGCCATGCATCAGCATGGTGGGAGCAATTGAAAAAGACTGGTGAAAAAGACTGCAGAAAGACAGGGAAAATAAAAAATATCTGATTGGGAAAAGATGAAGAAAAAGTTAAGGGAAACATTCTTGCCCTTTAACTATACCTAGATGGTGTTTCAGTGACTTCACACCTTTTGGCAATCAGGGTGGTCCATTGGTGATTATACTGAGGAGTTCATTCAATTAGTTGTACAGAACAACTTGTCTAAAACTAAAGAGCCGCTAGTTGCTCGATATATAGTGGGACTGCGACAATCAATTCAAGACGTCATAAGTTTACACCCTCTATGGACTGTATCATAAGCCTATCAACAACCTTTAACAATAGAGAAGCAACAATCCAAGAGCAGGGTGACTGCAATCACGAGAGAAGATTTGGGTGTTCGAACAAGTCAGTTTCAAGATCGTGGTGCTAGGCCTGAAGAAGTACCATATGGGGGCCGTAGAGATGCCGTTGCATCACCTATTAATCGCTCAAATAATGCTGGTCAAGGTACTAGAGTTCAGAACAGCAGCTCAACTCTACGTTATTTCAAGTGCGGGGAGGTGGGTCACAAGGTCAGAGACTGTAGAAAGCCAAATAGCCATTCTGATAAAAGCAAACAACTCATGATTGTGGATGAGTACCTAGATGATGCTAATGGGGATGATATATGATCCAGTTTGTGATGAAGAGCTCGATGAGGATGATCTTTTCTATGGAGATGTTGGAGTGTCCTTAGTTGTTCGAAAGAGCCTACTAACGCCTAATCAAGAAACCCAGAAGGTTTGGTTAGTGACAAATATTTTTCACGCCACCTGTAGCATTGGAGGTAGTATTGGAGGCAAGGTGTTCGAGCTTATTATCGATAGTGGGAGTTGTGAGAATGTAATCTCACAAGACGCGGTTAAAAAACTCAATCTCAACACAAAGAAGCACCCCCAACCATGCAAGCTTACTTGGTTAAAAAAGGGCAATGTGGTACGAGTAGAAAGTAGATGCAATGTTTTTTTTTTTATTCGAAAGAAATATTGTGATGATGTATAGTGTGATGTAGTTGCCATGGATGTTTGTCATCTATTATTGGGTAAACCATGACAATATGACCGTAGAGGTATACATGATGGGAGGGGGAATACATATACTATTTATCAAGATAATAATAAAACTCTCATAAAAAAGAAAATTACACCTAAGCTTAAACCAAAGGAGGTTGTAAATTTACTCTCAATAGTTAACTCTATAGAGGAGGTTCAACTCTCATAAAACATAAAATTACACCTAAACCTAAACAAGGGGGGGTTGTAAATTACTCTCAATGGTTAACTTTATAGAGGAGGTTCAGAAGACTTGGTTAATGTTTGCTTTAGTGGGTCTTGAAGAGGATTTATATTCTATTATTCCAGAGGAAGTCGAGCCTATAGAATTATTTGATGAAAAAAAAGAAGGAAGCACTCAAAGGAGAATCTATAAGTGAGGTTAAATAAGTCCTCTAACATTCTCAGCTCAAAGATGTTAGGGCTGAGCCGAAACACTTCCTATGGCTCTATAATGACTCATTTCTCGAGGGTTTATCAGTTTTAGTACACGATTTTTTTTCTTTTGAATAGTGATTTAACCCATAGGTTCCAGGATTATGTTTACAACACTCGGATCGAAGAAGGTGGTAGGAATAATACAGCTTTCATCTTAGTGCAATTTAAAACTCGATGGTGAGTTTTTTCTAACTAGCGAAGAATGATTCAGATAAAGAAAGGTGACATGAATAATACAGCTTTCATCTTAGTGCAATTTAAAACTCGATGATGAGTTTTTTCTAACTAGCGGAGAATGATTCAGATAAAAAAAATGCAGATCAAGATTTGGTTGTTCAAAAATTTAAATTTTATTTTTAGAGATTGGATAGACTTTTTATTTTTATTAAGGTTAATTTGTTTGAGATAGGATTAGTTTAAAAATCTTTCGGTTAGTTTAATAAGTTTATTTTAAAGAGGTGAGCCTGGAGCAGTTGAGTTATCTTTTAGTAGGTTTATCTTTTTTTTAGAAGTTGGGTTTTTAAAAAGGTGGAGTTGACCTGCATGTTTATTGATAGGAGAAGTTTAGGGTCTATTACAAGATAAAGCTTTTAGTCTTTAGAGAGATAAGGCTTAGCTTTTAGACGGTTGAGAGATAGGCTTTTAGTAGTTAGACAGATAAAGCCGTTAGTGTGAGTAGTTTTTGGTTATCCTTTTCGATATGGATATAAAAACAGTCGAGCCATTGTATTTGAGAGATGGAATTTGATGAATGAAAAATAAGTGGATATTTGAGATAGTAGAGAGAGAGAGAGCGCCTTTTATAGGTTTTTTTTTTATTGAATTGTTCTGTGTGGGAATACTTTACGTTTTGTTTTTTCTTCTTGTGTTTTTTTTCATAATTATTATTTCTGTTTATAAACGTGGTTAATTTGTCAAATACTTGACGTTTTGTTCTTTCTTCTTGTGATTTTTTTCACAATTATTATTTCTCTATCTGTGGTTAATTTGCTGGGTGGTATTTGCCAAATTTTGTACTGCGTCAAAAAGTCATGCAACTTATTGAGCAAGCAATTTTTATTAATCAGTACAGCTTCTGAAAGTTGTTGATGATCTTGGACCTGATTTTTCCAGCAACTCATGACCTATTAGAGTGGTCTCAATTTTCCCTTTAAGTTGATAACTACTCTTTCTCTCTCGCGTTTTTTTATGTCCCTTAGAAACTTACGTATGAGAATTCGAAATTGGTTTCTCTCTCTATTTTCTTTTTTTGTCCCTCGTGGAATTCAATAACAAATGTGAAATTTGTTCTTGCTGTGACAGCTGAGAGGAATGGGGTTCCCATAGGACCTCAGGTATGCCCCCTCTCTCTCTTTCTCTCTCTCTCTTTGACTAAAGGCCACCACATTTGTTAACACCACTTCTTTTAACTTATTTTTCAACAGGCGGCCTCAGCCTGGCTCTATGTTTATCCCCCTGGAATTAAGGACTTATTGGTCTATACAAAGGAAAGATACAATAACCCAGTGATTTACATAACTGAAAATGGTAAGACTGCTTTTTTTTTTGTTTTTTTGAAGCTAGTGTATTTTGTTCATGGGTTGCATGCTTTAAGCTAAGGTTTAAAAAAAGGGTGTGGTTTTTCTAAGGTTCCAACTTTAAACAATCTAATTAAAGCACACCTCCAAATTTCATTCTAACATGTAATTTTGGTGTAAAAATTCTTAGGATTATCTCAAAATCTATGTAATTTTGGTGTAAAAAATTCTTAAGATTATCTCAAAATCTATTTCCATATGTAATTATAACAATTTAAATTCCAAAAATGGTTAAATCCAATATATCTATAAACATATGAAAATCTTGGAAATAGACAGTCTAGATAATGTACTGCAAGATGTACTATTTCTAATACTCAATTTTTTTTTTTTTATTTTGATCTTTTCAACATTAAAACAATATTTTCCGATAGATTTTTTAGGTGCATATTTAGTTCTACATTTTAAGTTTACAATTTTATATAAACTTTTTTCTTTAAAAAAATGTAGGAACCGGTCAATTTCGATGGAGAATGATTCAAAGCAAATTGCCCCGATAACCGGTCTGTTCCCCAATTACATGGCCGATTTGCTACGTACCTAAAAGAACTAATTGGTTCTGGCTAGAACTGGTCCCACTATTTTTATTTGAACTTTTTTAATTTTTAATTGACCAGTTCAAGAAACGGATAGGTTGGGATATATGCTAACAAAAAAGAAAGAGGAAAAATATATATAGTAATATGAGAAATTAATTAAAATACATGTAAGAGATGAAACTATTTAATGTTTTACCCCTATATTTTGATTTAGTATAAAATATGCATAAAAAAGACACATGATTATGAGTTGTAATTGTTGTGAATGGATAAAAAGTTAAATAATTCAGCCCTTGTAAGTATTTTGATAAATTATCTGAATAATCCCAAAGGTGCAGTTGGCATACGGATGCATCCGTAGCCATAGAGGTAAGGTGCACCTTCAAAATTGATCATGGTATATAATTTTGATGTAAAATGTTCTTAGGATTATCTCACAATCTATTTTTATATCTAATTATAAAATTTTAAATTTCAAAAAAAGATTAAAATCATGTAGATTTATAAACATATGAAAATTTTGAAAATAGACGATGTAGATAATATGTTGTAAAATGTACTATTTTTTAGACTTAAAATCTTTTTATTTTTCATTGTCGTACATCTCGATGTCGAGATGATCAATCAGAAGGTTTTTCAACATTAAAACTAACTTTTTTGATAAATTTTTGAGGTGTATTCGTAGTTCTATATTATAAGGTTGCATCCTTATATAAACTTTTTCCATAATCCAATAGAGAAGAAAAAACGCGTTCCTTCAGTTTTTGCCTTCGAATTAATGGGTGAATAGACCCTTATGGCATGAAGGAAACTACCATCATTACTTTGATTGGACGGCGATGACCTAACAGCAACTTACGAGATTCTTGGTATTTAAATTTCTTTGCTCCACCTTAAAATGTAAGTATTTTAAAAGAAATCATTTTTATTGTATAAAGCATGGATTGTCTTTGTTCGCTAACTTTATTTTATTTCTTCAACCACATATAAAGAGCATGAGGTTCTTTTTTCTTAATTTTTATTCATTTTTAATTTTTATTTCTCTCAATTAATACAATTTCGGGTCGTAAAGATAGAGAGAGTTTACAAGAAGTGAAAGGACGATATGCTCTGGCAGGCGCGTGAAATCATGTAGCTTTTATTACACCGCCCTCTTTTTTTAGATTCTATTACGTCAAAATGTACATGTACCAGACATTTAAATAGACATGATAAAAATTAAATAAATTGAAACAGAGATGGTTATTAAATAGAAATTCCATGAATTTGTAAATTCAACGAATAATAATAGATATTCAATTGATGAATTTATCAAATCAAATTGTCATAGTTTTTTCATAGAATTTCATTGATTTTTGACTAATTAGTCCATTCAATTAATTAGGAAATTATCTGACTTGCGGAAATATATCAAAGTATATTCACATGGGAAAGGTTTCTATACTTCCCCTACGGCATAGAAGATCTATGCTTCCCCTACCATCCAGCCACCCAATTTTGATCAAGATAGCCACTCACCGTTTGATTTTAGATTCGGCGTAACAAAGTATTTTATTTTTATTTTTTTTTATACAAATTGTATGAATATGAAATTTTGTACGTGTCATCTTCTCATTGGGGCGAACCTATTAAAAATATTAAAAATAAAATAATATATAATAACCAAAATACCCCTTAAAATTTTCAGTGGTATTTTGATCATTTTATTTTATTGAAAATTTTTTTTTATATTTTTTTTTCTTGTGCGAGTTTAATAGAGGATTAGATGTTCAAAATCTGATGTCAAAATAGTTTATAAAAAAAAAAATTAAAATAAAATAGTGTAGAGACGTGACATTGTGATTGGGGTTAATCTTAAGCCCCCATTCAAAATTGACAGTTGGATAAGGGAAAAAATATAAGTTTTATGTTGTAGAGGAAGCATAAGGGGAAGTATATAAGTTTTATGTTGTAGAAAAAACACAAAAAGCTTTCACTATTTACATTTGGCACTATCTCATGAACAGACCTAGAAATGGAAACATTCGCGATGCTTCATGTACTATAAACCAAAGCGCTTAAGTAGTTTTACATCGTCCATCAAAGCGATGGATTTCATTGATGAGCATGATGTAGTTGCTTGTGTGAATCACATTAAAACCGGGTAATTTGGATCAGAATCGCCCGACCTAAATCAGGTTGGGCGAGTGGGGACAAGGTCTCACTCCTATAATCACGCGATCTCCACCTATCTTGATTGTTATTGACCTTCTGCGAACCGGTACGGCTAGTAGCCAATTCAGCTTGTCTATCCGGTTTTTAAAACAATGTGTACTTGCAATTCTTTCACTTCATTTCATCTTTTAAATGTTGCAGGGGTTGATGAGTTCAATAATGCGAGTTTAAGTCTAGATGAACAGCTCAATGATAAGATGAGAATTAAGTATCATTCCAAGCATCTCGCCATTGTTCGCTCCGCCATCAGGTAGATCAAAATGTATATGTGTTTGTGTTTCGTTTCTAGAGAAAGACAGAGAGATGCAAAAATTTAGACCTTTAAGAGAGTGCTAAATTACATAATTCTCTTGAATGATTTGCTAAATCTTATAGTTTTCAGAGAGTTCAATTTTACAAAAATTTCTTCAAAGAATATACAAGACTCACATCAACTTTTTATTTTCTTTTCTTTTTCTTTTTTTCTCTTTTTTCTTTTTTCTTTTGGTCAGGGAAGGTGTTAATGTAAAAGGATACTTTGCATGGTCACTGTTAGATAATTTCGAGTGGACAAATGGTTACACAGTTAGATTTGGCATATGTTACGTTGATTACAAGAACGGGTTGAAGAGATATCCCAAGAAATCATTTCACTGGTTCAAGAAATTCCTCACAACATAGATTAATCTAAAGAAACATTCAACATCTCTCTCTCTCTCTCTCTCTCTCTCTCATACACACTCATGGGAGACGAGAAATAAATGGTTTGAAGGTTTTACATTCAAATGTTGGACTTGCAATGAGAACTTAATATCGAATTATATGGAATTTCCATTCCTTATTTTGGAGGTATGTATTTGCACCCATGTGAGTTGTAAACTGATAGGTTTGGTATGAGCCACAAAAGGTCCTTTAAATAGTGGTTTGCCCCGTGGCCCCGCCCAGCCCCAAATCAGGTTCCATCCGGACCATTAACAGCCCTAGTTCCCAACATATCGCATTCGGAAAATAGAACTAATCATGTTTGGTGGTCCATCCAAACTGGTTCTTAAGTTGATAACAAGCCACGTGCCTATGACTTTCACCACCATGTTTGAAAGTTTAGTTCCATATCAGTAATTTTGCATGTTAAGACTTGAGAGAGCCACTAAGGGTTACGTAGAGACAAGATTTCGCTTTGGGTTGCATGACTTTTAATTTTTTAAAACGACTTACATGTCTAGAGACTGAAATTTGCATAGCACTTATGCATCACTTTTTACAACAATTTTGAAACATTCAATTATTGCAAAGTCTGGCATCATGAGGCCACTTTAATAATTGTAAAGTACTCTATAAAGCTTAATTTAATGTTGTGTATCGAGTGTAAAACAATTAAATATATATAAGTCCATGTAGAAGTGAGTCACTTTTTAAAAATCTTTTTTGTGATGGATTTTTTGACTTAATTTTTAGGAAAAATTACATATATATTTATTATAGTTTTTGTTATTACGGTTCTACGTAATATTCCGTTATTACCACCGTGTCTGTTTTTTTCATGTCAAAATGGAAATCTAAAAAACAGACGACTTTACCTTTTTTCGGTTGTTGAATAACCGAATTCAAAGTATTTTCGGTTATTGAATAACCGAATTCAAAGTATTTTCGGTTGTTGAATAACCGAATTCAAAGTATTTTCGGTTGTTCAACCACTGGAAACGAGATCAATTTCGGTTTTTGAATAACCAAAAATTTAAAATTTTTGCCCTCTTTTTGATATTCTATTACATCAACATGTACATGTATCAGTCATTTAAATAGATTAAAACAGAAATAGAAATTAAATAGAAATTCCATGACTTTGTAAATTCAATGAAAATAATAGATATTCAATTGATTGATTTATTAAATCAATATTTCATTTTTTTTTTTTACAGAATTTCATTGATTTTTTTGAATATTTAAGCAACTCAATTAAGGGTTTTGTTAGGCTACTTCTACACATAGAGTATATACTTAATGTACTCAATAGTTTTGGACACTTGATACTCTTATTCTATAATGTAGTAACTTTTTGTTCAGGGGTATTTTAAATAATTATTCAAGGGTAAAGTAGAAATTATTAATAAAAACAACAATATGACATCACCGACACGATGTGTGACATCATCCATTCTATCCATCATAATGACAAAAAATACTTTTACTTGAAAAATTTTGCATTACAAATCAAACATTTCTAAGTGTCTAAAATATTGAGGGCTTTAAGGGTCTACGCTACAAATGGTGTAGCAAAACAACAACCCTTCAATTAATTAAGAATTATAACTAAACAATCTGACTAGCAAAAACATATCAAAGTATATTTACAGTTGGCACTATCTCATGAACTGACCTAGAAATGGGAAGATTGTCTAATGTTCCCAAACGCTTCATGTTTAATAAACCAAAGCGATTAAGTAGTTGTATATCACCCGTCGAATGTCATGGATCTAGGAATGGGGTTGAGGTAGCAGTAGTAGCACCACTTGAGCCTCAACTTTCAGTATAAGTTTTCAATCCCATTGACACATTTGAAAAACCACTAGTTATTTCTAAAAATAGGTACGGACCTGTATTCCCCATTGATTGACCCAAAAAAATATGCGATGGATCTCATCAATAAGCATGCACATGATGTAGTTGCTTGTGTGCACCATATTAAAACTTGGTGATTTGGATAAGAATCCCCCATCTAATTTAGGTGACAAGGTCTCACTCCCATGATCTCCAGCAATAAGGATCGCCAATTGACCTGATGCCAACCGGTACAGCCTGTAGCCAGTTCAACTTGTCCATCTGGTTTTTAAAATACTGTGTGCTACCGATTCTTTGTCCATCTGGTTTTTAAAATACTGTGTGCTACCGATTCTTTCACTTCATTTCATCTTCATCAGTTCTTCGCTTACAGAGAGGAAGAATAAATGGAAAAAGAAACGAAAAACACATCGGGCCTTTGTTCTCTCTGCCATCAGGTAAATCCAAATGTACATGTGTGTTGAGAGTGAGAGATGAAAAATTTTATAACTTAAAGAGTGAGTGCAAAATCTTTTAGTTTTAAGAGAGTTCAATTTTACAAAAATTTCTCCTAAAGAATATACAAGTCTCAAATAAACTTTTCATTTTTTTTCTTTTGGCAGGGAAAGTGTTAATGTAATGGGATACTTCGCATGGTCCCTATAATTTCGAGTGGGCAAATGGTTACACAGTTAGGTTTGACATATGTTAGGTTGATTACAATAACGGATTGAAGAGATATCCCATGAAATCATTTCACCGGTTCAAGAAATTCCTCACAACATAGATTAATATTCTCGCTATCTAAAGCAACATTCACCATCTCTCTCTCATTCATGGGAGAAGACATAAATGGTTTGAAGGATTTACATTCAAATGTTGGAGTTGTAATAAGAACTTAATCTAGAATAATATGGGATTTCCATTTGTTATTTTGGAGGTCTGGGTTTGAACCCAAGTGAATTGTCGAGTTATAGGTTTGGTATGGGCCTTAAAAGGCCCGTTAAATACTGCTTTGCGAGGTGGCCCCGCTAGCTGGAAAATAAGCCCGATAGCCTCCAGAAATCAGGCCTCACCCGGACCATTAACTCCCCTAACTCCCAATAAGGTTGGGAATTTACCCTATCCGGATCCGAAACCGGAATTTCGGATCTCATTTGGATCCGGTTATGGATCCTTGATCCAAATTCAGATTCGGATCTAAATTTTGGATCCGAATGGTAATTTGCATCAGATCTGGGTTGGGTTGGATCCGATCCATATCCAACCCGAATTTATATATATATATCACTTTTATAATTTTTAAAACCGTATCTCTACCGTTCTTCTAAGTTTATAAAACTAATCCCCATTTGATTTGAAAAACCTTAATCTTTCCTCCCGTATCTCTCTCGATATTGAAATCAAAATTGGGGTTTCTCTCCATGCTCTCTCTGAATCTCCCTAAGACTGTAAACCCATCCCTCTCACATCTCTCTCTGTTGAAACCCTCTCTGTTTCATCTCTCGGTATTCTCTCTCATCAGTCTTTGCGCCATTGTTCTTGACCCTTGATCAAATTTGCTTGTGTTTTTTATAATAAAGAACTGAGTCGATCGAAAGAGGCATGGAGCAGAGTTTATTTCAATCCATGAAAACCTGGAGTGTGAGGTTGTCGCACCCCAAGAATTTACAATACTGATATTCCTGAGATGTGACATACAGTCAAAACATATATACATCTTTTGATAGGACAAATTTACACTGACGAATTCTTACAAAGTAACAAAAAAAAAGCTTAGACACAACTACAATATCTTCCAAAGTTGCCCTTGACGAGTACTCAAAATGAAGCCGCAGTTATCCTGAAAAATGTTTACCATAGTTTGATGAGTTTGGCTACTCAGTAAGTGATCATCATAATCTTAAAAATAATCATGGTTGAAAGATATCAATATTTTCCAAAAGGAGATATATTAACAGAAATGCATCAACAGTTTCTCTTTCAATAAATGCATAA